CTGATATATGTTCATTATATTCCAATTTTATATCCTGGTTGGTGGTGTACCAACCCCTTTGAAATGATGGAGTTCGTCAGTTGCGATTATATATGACATTCCCAACATATTTGGAAAATCATAATCCAGTCATGTTCCAGTCACCACCAACCGTTGTATCCCATGTTTGATTCGCGGAGTCTCCGAACGTCAGATGCAGCCGGCCCCACCATCCGACGGTCGTCCTGATCTGGCGGGACGCAGCATGCAGATGGGCCGCACGTGGACTGCAAATTCGACCTTGGCGCAACATGGGGGAATGGGCCGATGGGCCGATGGGTCCCCCATGTTTTTCCGTGTTTTTCCCCACCTGCCAGGTGAGGGTTGTTAGATTTTATGTCAGTTGCCTCCTCCGCCTCCTCCTGCCTCGTCCTCCTCTCCTCCTCCTCCTCTCCTCCTCCTCCTCCTCCTCCTTGTCGTCCTCGTCCTCGTCGTCCTCGTCGTCCTCGTCGTCCTCGTCGTCCTCGTCGTCCTTGCTCAACTGCGACCCGCGATCCACAGTGTTCTCTGCCGGACCTCAACCACGACCACCCACGCCCAGTGTTCCCTGCCGGACCTCAACCACGACCATCCACGCCCAGTGTTCCCTGCCGGACCTCAACCACGACCATCCACGCCCAGTGTTCCCTGCCGGACCTCAACCACGACCATCCACGCCCAGTGTTCCCTGCCGGACCTCAACCACGACCATCCCGCCCAGTGTTCCCTGCCGGACCTCAACCACGACCATCCACGCCCAGTGTTCCCTGCCGGACCTCATGTAGGAAGATAAAATGTCAGATAGAGTGCCAGAAGATTTGCCAGGTAGAATGCCAGAAAATATGCCAGAAGATATGCCAGATAGATATGCCAGAAGATGCCAGATATGCCAGAAGATATGCCAGATAGAATGCCAGAAGATATGTCAGATAGAATGCCAGAAGATATGCCAGATAGAATGCCATGCCAGATAGAATGATCAGAAGATATGCCAGATAGAATGCCAAATAGAATGTCAGAAGATATGTCAGATAGAATGCCAGAAGATATGCCAGAAGATATGCCAGATAGAATGCCAAATAGAATATCAGAAGATATGTCAGATAGAATGCCAGAAGATATGCCAGAAGATATGCCAGATAGAATGCCAAATAGAATATCAGAAGATATGTCAGATAGAATGCCAGAAGATATGCCAGATAGAATGCCAAATAGAATGTCAGAAGATATGTCAGATGGAATGCCAAATAGAATGTCAGAAGATATGTCAGATAGAATGCCAGAAGATATGCCAGAAGATATGCCAGATAGAATGCCAGAAGATATGTCAGAATATATGCCAGAAGATATGCCAGATAGAATGCCAAATAGAATGCCAGAAGATATGCCAGATAGAATGCCAAATAGAATGTCAGAAGATATGTCAGATAGAATGCCAGAAGATGTGCCAGTAAGAACATGTATAAATGTCATGGTGGGGATCACACGAAGTAAAGTAATTTATAGATCAGTGCCAGGCTGTGTATAATTAAGGTAGATTAATCATCAATCATACAGAATTCATATCCAAGCGTTGTATATTGGTGTGTATAAATTAATACATACAGAATCATCAATCATACACAGCAATATACAACGGTTGGATCTGGTTGGTCGATTCATGATCCCACAAAGAGGAGGAAAAATCCATGCATTCCGGTGACCTGCCCATGCCGAAAATTCACCATGGATAGCTCAGAGGTGGAAGGTATGATAAAACCTGGGATCCGGGGGGAGCGAGTTTTAAGACTCACCACACATCTAAAGTCTCATTTTAATTCCCATAGGATCCATGTAAGCTATATATGGTAACATTTACCATCAATATACCCCCAATGTTAGCATATATACCATACATGGATCCTATGGGATTGTATTTAATTGTTCAATGCTCAAAATACAGAAGAAGAGAAACAAACACGGCACGTTAATTAGCTGTTGGAAGAATTCATCATTACAAGCCACATATACATGTCCCAGACTACCAAGACACAACGGAAGAACCCATGTCCAAAACATGGCGAAACACCACGGCACACCCAGAATTGCGCACCGACCCTCCTGATGCACTGTTTCCCATTATTTGACTTAGGAACGAGCAAATCGCTACGACTCAAGTATCGTGTATATATATAATAACAATAATAATAGTAATAATAATAATTGTATGTGTATATATACATATATATATACACTGTAATTAAGTTGGTTAGACAGCATGTTAAACAACACCATATTGGGGATGGATTGGGAATACAATATGATATACCGGGAATATCATGGAAAAATGTAACGCTCGTCAAGACATGAGGCATAAGATGGCAATTTTCATGGGGAAAAATAGGATCAACATGGATCAACCAGGACCACTGTTTTTCAGAACCGGAAGAAGAACCTACCCGTGCTTCCGGAATTTCGGCCAAGTACACCGCAACAGTGCATAAAAACACGCACTGTAAGCCAAGAATCTGATGCAATTCGTATCCAACTGTTCTACTGTATCCTATTTCCAAACAAACCCAATTCATGCTCAAGAATAAAAACTCCCAACTGGCGGCTGTTTGCATAGAATAGACTTCCAAAATACCGTCCGGAGATATGCTTTGGCTTTGGTGTATGTCTTGGGAGTGCCAGATCTTTCCTTGCTATTTCACTTAGTCACTTAGTATGCCCATGACTGCCGCCTACATCCCCAAATTGGACGGCAAAAAAAACTGAATTGCCCAATGTGTTGCTGATGATTTCCCAACAGTGCCGAAAAATTGCAAGTGACCTCTCCCTGGGGCATTCAAACGATAGCTTAGTTGGTTCTTATCACCAGTTTAACCATGGTTTATGGTAGAACTATATAGTTAGTGAATGTTAATGGGGCTTATAAACCAACACTACCAAAACTGGAGGGAACACCTACTGCACCAACAATGGTACATTCTGAAAATCATCAAGTTGTCTTCCTTTCCACCAGGGTCCCCAGACACTTTGCCACCCATCTTCAGGTCTTTTGCAGAGCTTGTGCTGCTGTTTCTGTGTTTGTTTATTGGTGACTGTAGCTGATGGTTTCATCCAAAAACCCAATATGATTAATATGAACGTCATTTTGCAGAGCTATAGTCATCTTTGGAAAATATGATGTAAGCTATACCCTGCTTATATAGCTGGACACCATTTGGAATCATCTTAAGACCATGGCAAAATATTGCAAAACCAGGGCATGACCATCCCGATTATCTTTCTTCGTCAAGCTTTCAGGTCGGCTGTGTCTCAGATGGGGACTGAAAAGGGAAAATCGCCCAGAAGGTATGGTAATTCGAATGGGTGTGTAATCAATATTTGATGTGGTAAACTGGTAAACATCACATCTTGTTACTAATGTTGATCATAAATCATTTGATAACTATGTGTTAACGCCCAAAATCAATGGATTTAGATGGATTTAGAGGTAGCCCAATTTCGGGATTCTCCACTGTTGACCTCTCATGAACCATGCTGATCTTGCGGCAAAAAGCGTCCCTGAAAAGGCGAATTTTGGAAAGTCCACATGGAAAAAATCCGTAAATTAAATGGGGGGGGTATCCTAAAATGATACACACATAATAAATAGTAATAAATGATGGTTTTGAATTTTGAGGAACCCCCTTGAAAAAAGAAGCCCCCCATGACATGCTTCTAATCTTTGACTTCAATGAAGCACGTCTTCAAGAATGTTGTAGCAACTGACACTGCCAGTCTCCCGGTACCCAAGATGTATCATCTTGTTTTGCAGAAAGGAACTCCACTTTAGACTTCAGATGTCCTGTGACATCAAACAGTAGTCCATTCCTGAAGCTGCACCCTCCTGTTTTATTCTAAGCATTTGGGTTTGCCCTAGTTCTTTTGTGCGTGTTGATCGAAGCCGAGCGATTTGAGCGTTTGAAGAGATAACAGGGCTAGACACCAGATGCCGAGGTAAGTTTACTTTATCTCAGGTAGAGGGAACTGTGCCTAAACAGAAGGAAAACTGCTTTCATCAGGAGTTGAGAATCCGTGTCTAAACATCAACGGTTTTGCAAGATAATCACCAGGCTGCAAACAGACACATTTTTGGATCTGGATCTGTCTCATCGTTTTGAGTCCGGTTGCAGTGTTTTTGATTTGTCTCTGATGCTTACGGCGAGTGGGGATAACGAATGAATACGACATATATATATATATACAGTATATATATACAGTATATATATATATACAGTATATATATATCTTGTTTAAACTCACTCGCAGTGGTCGTAAGGCGTAAAAACACGTGAAGCACTTTTGAGTTACCCTGCAAAAAATAGGAAACAACCTAAACAAACAGTTGTTTTTCAGTTTTTTTGAGTGTTTGAAGATCCAGGTTGACATCAAAGCAGCATAGCTGGCTTGTTCGCTTAGGTTCATACGGTCCACCCCCAGCAGTTGCCTTGAAATTGAACTTCTCCCAACAAGAAGCAATGAATCACCGCATGAACCCAATCCAATTTCTTGTTTTTACCCAATCATGGAAGGAGTTTTCTCCTCCATATGCTGAATTTAGGAGAATTGTCTGCAAAAGACAGTCGGCCTTTCCAGATCATTTCAACTGGTCCTTTCAGCATAAACTCTGTTGCTGATGTGTCCATCTGGCTTTGCTTAAAATTCACAGCAAAAATCCCTCATTTGTCACTCAAGTTCCATATCTGGGGGTCTGAATGTCCGTCACTGTCAATCCCAGATGCTCCATGTATGGCATGTATGGAATATTTACCTACATAAAAAACCCCAAAATGACTCAGTTTTGTAGGTAAATATTCCAGCACAATGGTTCGCTTCTGGGAATATATGAGTATGGGTCAAAATTAGGTACCTCAATTATTGCATGGTTAATACTAAACTGGACTAACATCTGTGGTCCCCTAGGTCTTCCATTTTGACCCACAGCATATGAGTACCACTTTCGCTTCATGGGCGACTTTTTCTCAGGCGCTGGTCACTGTGACCTGGATGGGCAGTCGGTCATCGGTTGGTTTTCCCCAAGTAAATTAGCATGACAATGGAGCCATGTTCAGCATTGTGTAAGACATTTTAAGACTATTTTATCTAAATGGAGGATAGCATTGAACACATATTCACACATGGAATTCGACCAATGAACAGACAAATCAACAGGAAATACGTAAAAACGTATAGGTGTTCACCGTCCATGCTGTAGACATGTTCCTGTAAGTTCTCCCATCAAAAAGAATCAGGAACATTGTAAAGCGTAATCATGCAAGGAATCATGCTATATCATTGCTATTCAGCAGTGGTACAGTCACCAGGATATAGAGACAGCCTGAGACAGGTCGACATGGGTCCGCTTTAGTGACAGAGGGCCATTCCATGGATGATGTTTGATGAACACGTCTTTGCATCAGGTGGATTCTACCAAAGAAATCATATGTTCTGAACGGGTTGGGTATGACACATTTGCATAAAATTGCCAGCTGGCAGTTTAACGATGGCACCCAGAATCACACATGGATTTCTGTTCCCCGATACTCCATGGTGCTGGAAGATGTACCTACATAAAAAACCCCAAAATGACCCAGATTTGTAGCTAAATATTCCAGCACCATGGTTCGCATCTGGGGTTTGATGGGCCAGCATGACTTACCTCCCCAGCATCCCAACCTCTCACAACTCCTCGGCCACCCTATGGCTCCGATGCTGGGTGCCTCTGTCGCCTGGAGAAGTATCCAGAAAAAAAAACTGAGGGTTCGTAGTCCAAAAATGGTGATTTAGTGGGATTTTATGGGATTTAAATGGATTTAATATGTGCTCACGGTGATTTAATGGGTTTTCTATGGGATTTAAGTTAAGATTTTTGCTTAGCTAAGTTGAATTATAAGTAGGCTAACAATTGGGTCTATGGTAGAACGAGTTCATGGCTCAAAACACAGTAACACATAGCTGGGCGGCAACATCTTGTGACCCCGTCTGTCCAACAAACACATTGGGGGGCGACACCGCAAAGAATGAAGATACATGACAATACTATGCAGTACGATGCACTAATATTCACGGGTGATCAACTCTGGAAAGTGATTGGATTTATATGTTTGGATAATCTATTCCCCGGATCATTGGATGCATACCCCCCAACAACCAATTCTTGGAATTTGTTGGGGTCATTCATGAATAACACAATCAAGGTTTCTTGGAGAGTATTCAGTATTCAGATGTATTCAGGAGATTAGGACTTTTAGAAATATCGGTTTTAGTCAAAATTGGCGCACCAATGAACCCATACATTTTTTTCTAGCAATCCGACAGCTCCATTTTCAGGTCCAAACCCATATGACGTTTTTTTTTACCCAAGACACGGAGATCAACAAAATTGCATTAAAAAAAAACGATAATGATAACATCAAATCATGAGAATGATGGGCTAGAAGGAGCCATGCGGATTTATCATTAAGCATAAACAGGCAGTATGATTCGTCAATCATAGCCCAAGGATACACTACTGATGCTACATTTTGGACACTTGTCTTGAACCTTGAACTCCTTCAACTGAAAAATATGTGGAAGTTTAAGCCACCAACGCTACAGGAAATGTCTGATGTGTTTTTTTGTTTTCCATCGCTGTCTGCCTGGAGTTCTTTGCCCCTTTGGCAGTCTACATCCGTGTCCCTTCGGCTACCCTGTATCGTCGTCATCTCGTGGTCGAAGGAAAACAAAGAGCCGTGAACGAAGATTGATGCTTGCCTGACCATCAAAGTTTGGCTCCGTAGGCAGAGCTAAATGGGGTCAGAATGGGGTTTAGGGCTCTCGCACGGTTCAAACATGTTCAAACAATACTATCTAGCTATATGATATTGCATATACGTTTTCAAGATTGAGACATCCGAGTCAAATTTGTCCTAGTATAGAACAGTAATTAGCAGAGTACAACGATCAAAGCAACCCTCGCTCTCAACACTTTCGATTGACCAGTATAAAGCAGTATATAGCAGCAGTATAACCAACAACATCAACATCAACTAGTCAGTAGAACTAATCCATGAACCATAATTAGTACCCTCTGGTAATCTAACATAGCTATAGAAAATCACCATTTTTAATGATAGCTATGTTAGTTTACCAGAGGGTAGATTTTAAGAGTTTTCAACCAAACATCCCCATCCCCATCCGCTAGCGTTCATCCGCCCATCCCTTCGCCAGACTTCACCTCACCCTCCTCGGTAATATATGGCGAGCCATCCAGCACCGTGGTCCAGTTCCGGAAGATCTCCAGGATCTCCTCACGTCCAAAGGCGCAAGGTCACAACGATGCTTAAGTTGGTGAAAGCTCTGAATCGAATTTCCCCATTTTCCCAGGTCCAAGGATCCTTATGCCATAATATCCCCAATAAAAATCCCAATGTTGATGCTTAATAAAAACCCCAATGTTGATGCTTAAATGTCCATGAGATCCCCACAACAAACTCATCCACTCATCAAGACTGCCTTTTTGAGAAAATAGATGAAGCCAGACCCGGCCAGTTTGGTACATTATATATGATCATCTACCTGTTGGTTGTTGAATGGGGGAACCCTTTATGAATAAACAAACCAGTAAAGCTCCGCAAAAGCCCCATTGATCATGGTCGTTTCTCATCATTATCCTGGAAAGAAACACCGGGAATTTCCCATATGAAGCAGGGTTGCTCCCAACACCCCAGACACAGTTTCGTGGATAAACTGGCCAAATAAGAAATATTTTTTACATCCCATTTTCCCGCTTTACAGATTGTTGGGGCGGAGGCCTAACAATCCTATCTTGACAGATATATATATATATATATGTATACACCCAATCGTACATATATCATATATAATTATAAATATATATATATATATGTATATATAATTATATAGTTATATATAATTAGATAAAATTATATATATATATATAATTATATATACGTGTATATATATATATATCATGTATAATAAGCTCCCAATCTTTGGAGCAACCTGTTTCCATTTCCACATCGGCAGCCTGGCCTCACCAGTGGCCACGCCCGACATCAGCAGCACCATGCCACCGGGCCGCAGCACACGGCGCAGTTCCGCCGTGAAGCGCTGCACCGAGCTGGGACCTCCAGGGGAGCCATGGGGCCATCAGGTGGCGCATGGTATGGCTATGGAAAGCTATGGAATTTTCAGGAACCTAAATTGGAGGTACCTACCATATATAAGGCCTATGTAAGGCCTATGTAAGGGAATATCCCCACAAAATATAGCCTTATATGGTACTAACGTACCTCCATTTTAGGATCCCGCAATTACCATTGAATGGAAAGCTATGGAAACCTCCATCTGGCTATGGAAACCGACATTTTCAGCCAGAAAACCGCAGATTGTAGTGGATAGTTTAGTAAGTTTAGTATTAACCATCTAGTTTTAGGGGTATCTGATTTTGACCCATACCCATCTGGGTATAGTCACTGACCTGAGATGATGGGTTAGTTGATGTTTGGAAGAGTTCACCACACTAACCATCATTCCAGATTCCAGGCTTTGGGAGAACAATGAGTTTGTTATAATTTACGCAGATCACATGACCTACATAGGTAACTCAGTACAGTGATGGTGATAGGTGAAATTTCAAGATATATATTACGGGGTCCACTACCACTGATTGTGGTTTATTTTTCATATTAACCATCCATTGATATTACGGGGTCAGTCATTGACCCATACCGAAAGATTAGATAGACAAGTGGGAACCTTGGGTCAGTATTTTTGGGACGCATCATCAGAATCAGACCAAAAAAGATGCAATTAGATGATGTGGGGATGGATCAATACCTATTAATACCATTTTTAGGGGAATGAACATCCATTTACCAGCTATTTTGATGTTCACCAGGAGTACAAGGTTTTGACGCACTGCCATATAGATACGTGTAGATAGTCACAATATTGAGTAGTACTAGAGCAACAATGATGAATCTAAATAGACAACACAGTACCAGTAAAGTAATGATGCTAGCAATAGATAGGAAGAAATACCATTAGATAAGGAATAAATACCATTTGACCTACTACTATTGGATAGAAAATAACCATTAGATCAACTACGATTAGATGACAAAAGGATGATCTACTACTATTAGATACTAATGAATAAGAAGCCTTACACAGGCTAGCGGTCTCGTGGCTTAATTTGAGCTGTCTCTTGGATCAAAAGCAAAATAAACAATACTGAGTATTACTAGCAATTAATGAGTATTAATTCATATTAATTCAATAAGCACTACAGTAACCTGATCTAATACAATTATTGAGTTTCAGTTTAATCCCTTATGTATCAGAAACCATCCTTTGGTAGGGGATGAAAAACACACATTTGGGACCATAGAATGGCGTTGTTTAATATCAATGGGGGGGGATGGAATTACCTACCATGAGTCATCATGAGTTTATGATAATTTATATACCAATGTTCACCATGCAGCTTTACCATCATTTCATAAACATCCACGTTGCAATCAAACTAAAAAATCAGGAACCATTTGGCGAATCGTCTTCTTTTTTAGGGCTGAAGATCCACGAAAAAAGATTGGGTACCCGGTACCCTCTGGTAAACTAACATAACTATGGAAAATCAACATTTTTAATGGGAAAATCCACTATAAATGGTCATTTTCAATAGCTATGTTAAATTACCAGAGGGTAAACGCAACATGTAGCACGAAAATCTCATTTACCCTCTGGTCATCAAGCATTGCAAGCTGGGAAATCCGAGAACTAGCCGCTAGGACCGCTAGGAGCTTTAGTTCGCTGGGAAAATCAGTGACATAAACATTAATGGGGCTTAGAACATGCATTTTGTTTGATTTGCTATGCTTGACATAAACATCAAAAAATCATTGCTATGTTTGATTTCCAACTATGCTTCTTGGGAAAATGGGGGGTTTTTCGTGACTTAGTGGGAAGAGGAGACTCCCCCGGGTTCCGGCGCAATGTGTTGGATCTATGAAATTTCTCAAATGGGGATGGGTCAAAACCCTATCCCCCTGTAGTTCACATCAAAATAGCTGGGATTTATGGATGTGAATAACCCCCTAAAAATGGTATGTATAGGTATTGATCCATAGCCAAATGGATTGAAAACAAACAGAAATTGCTGGAGATATGTCTTGTGAAGGGATTAGACAAGCCTCATTCATTTAAGACCCTCGAATCACACCCAAATCACCTACCTTGTGCAGCACACTTTTAGATCCACTCAGAAAGTAATTCACCTGGTTTTGAAGTCCCATTAGCTATCCATAAGTGTCCCATAACAATCCACAAGCGGGATTATCCCATTTATCACAGGGATGCGGCTCTAGCAAAGCCACCCCCAACAGGCTCACGTGATCGGCACGTGATCCAGGTCCCAAGTGATCCCAAGTGGTAACTTCATTGGGTACCCATTGTATTTCTACACGCGCAAATCGCTTCATGGTCATTGACACCTTGGGCAACCCCATTGGTTATATGCCTCCTCATTTCTTGACGATTGATCACTACAGGGACTTTGGCTGTATTTAACCTTATATTTCCTCTAGGAGCCAATGGGTGAGTTTCTCCTACCCAAACAACCCAAACATCCCCCGCCTGCACAGAACAAGGCATCCATGGTCCCTTTATCCACGACTACATCGAAGCTCTTTTCTCGGAAGGTCTGGCAGCTTTCGAACCACCGTTGACCAGCCCGGATTGACATTTGAAAATCGCCAATGTCTAAACCAAATCCAAGCTCCTATTTGGCTATTTGGCTATGTCCATTAACTGGAGAAGAAAATGATTCTACAGGTTACTGTATGATCTGTATGTCCACATTTAAAAAGGGCACTTCCCATCGGGGTGTAATTGAGAGTTATGGTGTTCCCGGCCACGAAGTAATGTTTAAGATCCCCAGTGGAAGAGTAATCCCTTCCTCTAATATTTTTCAATATTTTTCATACCCGCCTAGAAACTCTGCTTTCGTACCGGGTCTATTCATTTCGGTGTTATATATATATATATCAACGGTATTCATTTCATAGATTTTTCCATAGTACTCTGAACAAATAGAATCGAAAAAAACATCAACACTTGGACTTGCCAAGTGTTGACATCTCTCTATGGTTGTTTTTTTTTGCATCGACAAAACGATACAAAGAGATCCTAAAGTCACCAACATGTCGGTACGTTTTCTCATATTTTGTTTGGGACTTTGAGGGTCAAGGTGTATGAACATATCAATATCAATATGTTTGATGTTTTCTTTTCACACATGTGTACATGTTTCACTCATATATTCCTATAATTTCCATGTATATAGATTCCACTACGTAAACACCTATCGTGATTCTTTGATCTTTCTCAGTGATTCAAAAAAGGACAGTTCTACCAAGTATATGACTATATCCAAATTTTGGATATGTCTTGTTGCTTAGTTTCTTTTTGTTTGAAGCTTAAACCACCCTGTCTTTCAACTTCGTTTGTTATGTTCAAGCCACGACCTGTCTGAAAATGGGGAATACTCCCAAAATGATGGAACGGTCACTGCAACCCATGAAGGATCCACATATCACATATTGTTTATGGGCTTTGTTTTAAACTGGGATGTCCCCCCCAAACGGCCCATTTGAATGTGGAAAACGATGTTCATGATTAATCAGTGGATGGAATGGGGGCTACCCCCACATTTTCAGACAAAAAAACACCGATAAGGTGGTGCCCCGCAGTCAAGGAACTTGGGTTATAACAGGGTCTTAACTGGTGGGTTTCTGGTAGATATACAGTTAGCTGGGTTTCAGAATCAACCTATACCCCACAAATTTACAGTTCCACCCTGGAAAAGTCATCTTCCAACAAACTTCAAATGGCAGGGTCGATGGTCGAGGTTTCCTTACAGTTATTGCCCTTTACCAGTTACTGTATAAGTCGGTTCGAACCCCATTAAAATGAAATGATAATCCCATTCATAACCACTTGTAACATCTTGTAACCATTTGGCTTTGTCTTAAAATGGCCTCCAAAATGATATTTATAATTGATTAATGGAAATATCTCCATAAACCATTGGATATTGGATGATATTGGGAGTATCCAACTTCAACCCATTTACAGCAAAAGACTGGTAAAGGGCTTATTTAGGTGCCTGGTCCCTGTTGCCGCACCACGGTCCGGGGTCCCGGGTCCTCTTCCGGCAACGCACGTAGATCCGCCACCACGTGCCGCAGCTTGCGCCGTCCCGCCGTGGCACGGGCGCGCGTGATGGCGGCCTTTTTCGGACTCGTTGGGGTCCCAAAATGGAGGGGAAACGTAAGTTACACACTATAAATACAAATAAATTAAACATATTATTATATACATCTATATTATATATATATTAGTTATGTATTATATATTATATATTATATTGTATATATATATATAATATTCAAATATGTCATGTTTAAATATATGTAATATTCAAATATGACATATTTAGAAATAGAATGTAATATCATACCATGTACTACATAACATTAGAAAATATGATACATACATATGGTAGCCATCCCCTAAGCCCCAAAAGGCCTACTTCGTCTCTTGTCTCGTATCTTTGCAAAGACAATATTTGTTTCACATATTAACATATTATCATACTATATATACATATATCCCAGTCATGCTTTCAAAATGTGCTTGTGCGATCGATACCCGTTCATATATTTGTATTATACACAATACTATACACAATACTATACACAATATGTGTATATGTATGTAGAGTATATATATATATACATGTATAATATATATATATATACATAGAATACAGATGAATACAGGGCGTCTAAGCTACAAGTCATTGCGCCTCCGCATAGTCCACATTCCAAATCTCCACGGCCATCGAGTCAGCACCTGGAAATTGCGAAAGATGGCCATGTCGAAAGCCCTTAAATCAACATTAACCAACCAAAATGGTATAGTCAGTGGATGATTATGGATGATTATGGATGATTATGGATGATTATGGATGATTATGGATGATTATGGATGATTTAACTTTCAAGCAACTGATGTTCACATATGTTCACAAACAGTTCACTGGGACTTTAAGAGCCCAATAAATTAAGGGGCATAAATAAGGTGATGTGACAGATGGGACAAACCGAAGTGAAGAAATTTGATGAAATCAAGTCTCTGTGCATCCAAAAATGAGACGCGTTCAAAAGCCAAACACGTGACTTGATCCACTTCACATGTCATGCTTTGGAGTGTGCAGTGTCCATCTGGCAATATCGCCGCATCGTCCCTTCCGGCGATGAATTGTTTGCAAGGAACAGAGATCATCGTAAAGGTCCTGAGGGCGGAGATATGTTTGGGAATCCCCTTCTCCCTGTCATGGATTTCCATTAGATTTACCTAGAAACAGAAGAATATGGATTTGTCTGAAAATGGGGTAGCCGCTAGTAGCCCTGATTCAGTCATCTTATCATCATGTTCCTTGGGATCTTTGTTAATATTTCCAGACAGCCTACAAACTCAGGCAATGTGAAACACCCCATATATATATGTTTCTTTCAGGGAATACTATGTACATCCTATGAATGGGATTTTCCAGACATGTTGGATTACCAGAGAGTAATTATGTGTATATATATATACTATCAGGGTACATCGGTGCATGACCATTTTGTCACATTCTCGTAGCCATGTTTCTGGGGTCGTGAACAGGGGTGAAAAGGAGGTACCAGGCAAGCACAAAGAGAACACAGGATCATCTTGAGGACTGCATGCAGTTTGAGTGGAGCAAGCCTGTTGTTCGCCCGCCTTGAGTGCCATGTCCGCTGCTGATGCAAACGCCGCGGCAGCTGCAGCCCCACCGGCCGCGGCTGATAGGGTTGCTGTGCTGAAGGAAGAGCGCAAAAATTTGAAACGCCAGTTAGCAGCAGCCACCAAAGAACTACAGAACCAGGAGAGTGCATGTAAATGCATGGATACGGTGTCTTTTCGTGAGTGCAGGTGGGACATGTGAACGCTGAACCCATGTTGAAAGACATGTACTCCATAGCCTGAAGGAAAGGAAACGAAGACGTCTTCTACGACAAGCAGGAAAGCTGGATGTGAGTGATTTGACGTGGCTGCTGGCACGTCGCATGCATCCAATGGCAAGCCCGCATGAGTAGAGTCAAGCCGTGCACTATGTGGAAAGCGCCATGCCAAAGACATAGAGCGCTTGGAGTGAGAGCGGCCATGTGAAGGTTCGAAAGCACCATGCCAAAGGCATGGACACTAGGAGGGAAAGCTGGCAACCGCAGACTTGCAAGCGCCATGGTCAAGACATAGAGCGCTTGGAATGAGACCATGTCAAGGCTGAAAATCCCAATGCCAAAGGCATAGCGCGGCAGGAGTGAAAGCTGGAAACCGCAGACTTGCAAGCGCCATGTCGAAGACAAAGCGCTTGGAAGACATGCGCGGTCCAGAGACCCCATTTAGAAGACATCCAGGGATACAACGCTAGATAGACAAGATATCTCCCCAAGAATCTTCCCACACCCCACCTCCAAAACATCACCTCCCCAAGAATCTTCCCACACCCCACCTCCAAAACATCACCTGACCCCCCCTGGTATATTATTATAATTCCCAAACGGGGTATGCGGTCCCGCTCCTATAAATTCACAGGTAAAGTGGTCCCGCCGACGGCGGGACCGGTCCCGCCTGCAACCTGGAATCGTGGGAATTCCCACATTTTGCGGTCCCGCCGCGGTCCCGCTGCGGTCCCGCCTATAGTAATTGCGTACTGTCGCGATTTCATGTTGAATACAGCACTGAGTCCTAGTCAGCAGAAAGCCTTAGCCACTGCGATTCTATAGTTGGATCTGTTCTCTTTGGGTGTATGTCATGTTCTTCAATTCTATAGAGAAGTATTGGCAGAACAAATTTCCCACAACAATTCGTTCATCATCATTGATCATCCTTGTATATAATCGAAGAGGTTGACAGTGAACACTTGGAGCCTTTGAGCTCTATAAAATTGGGAATGCATAAGGTAAGGTAGGCAAGAGCAACTGGAGCATTCAGGTCAGCTGTCAATGAATGACACTTGGGGAGCCTGATTTTATAGAAGGCCAACTAACCCCCCCAACCAAAAAACGGCTCTACGAGAGTGACTTGGGGGCAGCGATTCTAAAGAGATTGTCAACTTGAAAATACCTTGGGGTCTCTGATTCTATAGATGCATTTTCAGAAAGAGGGCCAATGTCTCCAGAATTATCACTATAAAAGTGTCAACACCGTGTGCAGCAGGTTGCAGGTGCGCTTGGGCTATATCACCCGCAAACGCGCTGTGGAAGCAGTCATGCAGCAGGAGAGCGAAAGTCGCCTCCGACGTGAGCAGGCCGAAGTGGTGGCCCAGCTCCAGCCATTGCAAAAGCCATTTTTGCCAGAAGTGGTTGCCCGAGTCGAAGACTGGGCCAAACAGTATTCCATTTTAGATTCTCGGTACAAATTTCTTGTGCTCCGGGCGCCTTCGCGCGCTGGCAAAAGCACCTTGGCAAAATGCCTCCATTTCGTTTTGCCTACGTATATCCAGAAGCCTCCTTTCATTCAAACTGTCCAGGGTGCCACGGCCGCTGAGTTACAACATTACGACAGAGATTCTCACGGCTTTATCCTGTTCGACAATTGCAATTCTATGTCCTTTGTGCTATCTCAGCGGGCCTTATTTCAGGCAAACCCAGACTTTCATCGCTTAGGCCAGTCACAGACGAACATATTCTCATATCAGGTTTATTTATTCAGGGTCCCCATTGTGATCACCATAGATGAATCAACTGACTGGGATGATGACGAACCATGGATTCGCGAGAATCAGCATTTGGTGCAGCTTACCGGCCCGTGTTATCATTTGGAGTAACAGCCTGCATGGGGTAGAGAAAGGCATGGCTTGGGTTAGGTTTGTGAAACCGCCTGCGGGGGAGATTTGGGTCTACAGCTGCTTGAACCCTCAATGTGCTTCTGCCATGTGGGTGCATGCTGCACGTGCATTGTTTCTCAGAGTTGCAAGGGTTCCTTCTAGGAGTTGCAGTCCAGGAGGTTGTGTTTAGGTCAGCATGGAGAATCTGTTGCAGCCGCCGCTCAGCCATCACTCACAGATTGCATGCAGCAGCTCTGTCGGGCCTTCGGTGTGGATCCAGCGCCACATGAGTCACAGGACATGGCTGTAACAGCACCAATTTTTCGCATTCATATGCCACAGAGTCACAGCCCAGCAACAGAAGGGTATAGGCTTCCATGCAAAGACATCCAAGACAGCACCCAGGTGGCCGCAGCCTTGCCCCATGGCTCACGCACCTGCGGCGACTCCAGTGGCTTTAGCAGAAACCATTGCAACTTTGCAAGCAGACCTTGCCAGAAACAGAGCGGCCGGAGTGCAAGCCAAGCATGCCAGATACCGAGCAAAGAAGGAAGCAGCCTCTGGAGGTTTTAGCCCTCTTGCTTGCAAAGCGATCGTTGCCGTCTATGTGTTGTCGGACTGCAATATGGAGCTAGCGCTTCGCTTCGCTGCCCTGTGGCCAGCAGTCAAGCCGACCTCAGGGACAACACGGGTTGTGGTGGAAGATTTGTTTTTGAGCACCACAGACTTAGACTTGCAGCACATTTTTTCACCTTCCGCGACTCCGTGGGCACGGCCAGTGCGGCATGCAGCCGCTTTTCTGGCAGAGGCTAACACTTTCAACTGGGTTCTGGCTTGCAACCACGTCGGTGTAGCACCGCTATCGCTGGATGTCTATGCCACGTGGGAGAAAGCGCGGTTTGGCAGCCTCCTGGAGGGTTTGCCGCCTCGCCGGCATGTGAATCAATGGGTGCAGCGCTTCCGAGCCAAGTGGAACCTGCGGCGCCGAGTCCTACGTCCACAAGTGCACAGGGACCCAGTCACGGTGCAGGCTAAGGCGCCAAGCACGGTCGTGTTTTTGCGACCGTTTTCCGGCTCCAAAAATGGGGCCGGGCAAGCTCATTGCAATTCGGACCTCCTCCCACATGTGGTCATGTTTTCCTAGCCTCCCTGCTCGGCTTCGCCCTGTCAGGTGAGAACCTTTTGGCAGTTACTCTCCTACTACGTGAACACGAAGTTTGTGGACAAGACTCCGCTGTTTTTGAATTTAGACGAAACTAGCATTCCCTACACCATGCTGCAATTGCCCGGCTGCGTTGCTTTGCCACGACATGCCAGTCTTCGCATGCCTGTCCGGAAACAAGACGTGCGAGGGGCTTTGACCTATGTGAGCATCATTTGTGATGCGCCGCATATTCAAGGCAAGTTGCCGCACTACCTTTTTGGGACTGAGACCAAGCTGACACAGAAGTTGCTGAGGGGCCAGCGGCGCTTGCCACAAACGGCGCTGCACATAGTACGTCAGAAAAGTGCTTGGACATCCTGCAAGAACATCACCAAGATTGTGCGCGATCTAGGCAAAGTCTTAAAACCTTATCCATTTCAACCTATCTTGTTGCTGGATGTTGCGTCCTCACATCTCGCAAAGGAAACCATGGTGTGCGCTCGGCGCAATGGTGTCCAGCTCCTGTACATACCAGCCGGATGTACAGACAAAATCCAACCGTTAGATATAGCAGGTTTCCACCCATTGAAAACACATTTGAAGAGGAAGTACCAGGAACTGAGGGCAGGTTCCTGTGAGGGTTTGATAGACCCGTTAGCCTGGCTTTTTGAACTCATGCAGTGTCCCAGCTACTTTGCCGGCAAGAGTTGGAAACGCACTTTTGAATCTGTTGGTGCGGCGAAGCCGCCCGATACGGCGCACCTCCATACGGAGTTGCGAAAATTTATGGATATGCCACTGCATATGCCTCCAGGCAGCAAGCCCTCTAAAGAAGCCATGCAAAGCATCTGGC